TTATGTGAAAACAGCTCCAAAAAAAAAAAAATCAAAGGGAGTAGTTAAATTTGCTGTTTCCACCTGAATTCCAGGGTGGGCAGTGAATGGAGGAAGTACAGGTGCTGCAGAATTTGGGCTGCCAATCAGGATTTGAAAGCACATCCGGCAGGATACTGGGCTGTACGGGCCTGTGTGTGAATTCTCTATGGCTGCGGGACACTACTTGGGCTAGCCACCACACCACGTCACCAAGTGATACTAAGTGATACTGCAGTGCTGGTATGTAAAAGACCAGGATGTACTAGGCTGCTGGTGCTCTCCAGTTCACCAAAAGGTAGTGCAGCACTAGTACTGGCACTCTCCTGACCTTAGCAGGGACCTATTCTCCATTGTCTAAGCTACCTGTTAGGATGCCGCTGCTCTCTTCTGAGCCTGATTCTGTCAGTGAGGCTTCCCCTTTGCTCTCATCTGAAATACTTAAAATCCTGTAGGTCTCTTCACTAGTGTAAATTTCTTTGGACATTTTGGCTACTAAATTTATAGGTACCTAGTGTGACTAATGGGAAAAAGAGCATCTGGCTGTCAGGGACTGCTTTAACTGCTACAAAAAATGTAGCTGCTAGTGCTAGCAGAGATCAGGCCTGATCTTGCTAATGCTGCAGTTTTGTGTGTGTAATTCACAGCTCAAAAAAATTAAAGGAACACTTTGAAAACACATTCGATCTCAATGGGGAAAAATATGCTGGATATTTTTACTGATATGCACTGGGTAATGTGTTAGGAACGTAAGGATGCCTCATCACTTGATGGAAATGAAAATTATCAACCTACAGCGGACTGAATTCAAAGACAACATGAAAATCAAAGTGAAAAAATGATGCATCCGGCTAGTTTATTTTGCTGAAATTTCACGTGCTTGTATGCATGCCTGACAATGTTGGGGCATGCTCTTAATGAGACTGCGAATGGTGTCCTGGGGTATTAGCTCCCAGATCTGGACCAGGGCATCACTGATCTCCTGCACAGTCTGAAGTACAACCTGGTGGCATTGGATGGACTGAAACATGATATCCCAGATGTGTTCTATTGGATTTAGTTCAGGTGAACGTGGGGGCCATTCAATGGTATCAATTCTTTCATCCTCCAGGAACTGTCTGCATACTCTTGCCACATGACTGCCATTAGGTATCGGGATGAAATCATTGGACCCATTGCCACACCCGAGACCCACTGCATCAGCGCAGGGTCTGACAGTGGGTCCAAGGATTTCATCCCGATACCTAATTGTGACGGACGCGGGATCGCTGCCACCAATATGCGACGATCCCACGATCGCTGTCACCAATGTGTGACGGACGCGGCGTTAGACCCCTGACCGTCTCACTAAACTCGTGACCGAAGGACTGGCCAATCTGAAGCTGCGATGTCACATGCGTAACAATGCCACACCCAGCCGCACCCTGCACAACGATTTTCCAGCTAATGGACCACAATCGATGTACTGGAAGCCTGAGCGATTGTTACTCGGTCAGGTTAATTACGCAATTAACCCTTCACACTGCCACCACCTCCTTTTTGTACAGAGAAAGAGGAAACTCGGTGATATCCGCAATAACACTATAATGGTTGAGGTAATCGTCTGTATAACACGGTCACCGCAGGCCGGTTATGCAGAGGGTTAAACAAACACAGTAGAGTCTCTTTTAGAGGCAGCAATTTGTAAATTGCAATTAAGAGCTATAGAAACAATTCAACACTTTCAGAAGGAAAGATTTATTACTGAAAGGTCAAAAAGGGGTGCAATAAAAATATTTACAGGACAAAGATGTAACCAATATATATATATAAATATACAGAGGACAACAGCACACCAAAGAGATAACAGGGAGAGGTTAAAGTACTTGCCAAAGTCCTGGGTTAGCAGATCAAGTTTCAGAGCAAAAGGGTACGGGTCTTCCTAGGTGGTATTGATGTTAAAATGGGAGAATTCTTCAACTTAACTCTCTTAGGCCTGACAGCCCATTTTGTAGTCCGCCAGCAGGGGGTGTCTATAAAGCCAAGGACCAATGCCTCATTTAGGGAGGGGTCGTCTGGGCGGATACCTCAACTAGAGCCAAAATCTCTCCTAACTCATATTTTGGCTCATAACTTTCCATATGCATAAGTGACACTCCACCCGCAGGTAGATTATTATGCAGACATGTCTGAGGATTGATTAGATATGAATTATGAAATTATACACTGAATGGTTCCCGAGATCTACTTTTCTGCTTTCCTATGTATTCGAGACAAGGAGAGTGACCCATCAAATTGTTCGTCTCCTCTTAGCCAATCTGACGATATGTCTGGTTTTTATGTAAGTCTCTCATATTCCAAGACATGAGACATAGGGGAAAAATGGATTTTGAAAAGTGTTTATCTGATTCGTGCTTCGTTGGAATGCCTTGAACTCCTGGGAAAGCTTGCCTTATCTTATACGAGGTGTTATATGGCACAGCTCACTCAGACAGCCAGGCACCTTGCTCAGAGAGGTGTTTTATAGCTCTGGGCTCCCTGCTGCCCTGGCCTGTCAGTGACACAACCAGCACACACACACACTGGCCAAATGTCTCTGTGCCTCTCAGAGAGGGAGGGGGAGAGAATGAGGAGAGAAAATGGAGATTAACAAAATGGAGGACTGCGTCTGCCTCTGGTGTGTACGCTTGCGACACTAATGGCAATCGGTGCCATTGGCTAACCTGTAGAGATCTATCCCTCCCTCCATGGATATGCCTCCCAAGACCATCACTGACCCACCACCAAGAACGGTCATGCTAAACGATGTTACAGTCAGCATAATGTTCTCCATAGCTTCTCCAGAACCTTTCACATCTGTCAATTGTGCTCAGGGTGAACCTGCTCTCATCTGTGAAGAGCACAGGGCACCAGTGGCGGACCTGCCAATTCTGCTGTTCAATGGCAAATGCCAATCAAGCTCTATGGTGCCAAGCAGTGAACACAGGGCCCACTAGAGGATGTCGAGCCCTCAAGCGAACCTCTGGCATGCTCATCCTGTTCCTCCTGCACAAACGAGCAGATACTGGTCCTGCTGATGGGTTAAGGACCTTCTACGGCCCTGTCCAGCTCTCCTAGAGTAACTGTTTGTCTCCTGAAATCGCCTCCATGCTCTTGTGCTGGGAGACACAGCAAACCTTCTGGCAATGGAACGTATTGCTGTGAAATCCTGGAGGAGTTGGACTGCCTGTGCAACCTCTGTAGGATCCAGATATCACTTCATGCTACCAGTAGTGACACTGACCCTAGCCAAATGCAAAACTAGTGAAAAACAGAAAAGTTGAGTAGGGGAAAAAATGTCATTGGCCTCCAATTGTAAAACCATACCTGTTTTGGGGGTTGTCTCATTATTGCCCATCTAGTGCACCTGTTGTTATTTTCATTAACACCAAAGCAGCTGAAACTGATTAACAACCCCCTCTGCTACTTAACTGACCAGATCAATATCCCAGGAGTTTAATTGATTTGATGCTATACTCTGATTAAAAAGTGTTCCTTTCATTTTTTTTTGAGCAGTGTATACCAAGTGACCGTGATCTACTGACACTGCACTTACTGAGGGGGTGGTGTGGCTAAAAGGGTCAGGCGTTGGGGTTGATCCTGCTAACGCTGCGTTTTTGAGAACACTATACGATTGTTGTGAATACTAGTATAGTTCTGATCTGATCAAAGTTATTGATCCATTCAGACACTACACTAGCAATAGAAGTTTATAGTGGTGTATGTGAGTGTGTTTCTGGCAATCAAAAGGTTAAATGTGTTGGTAATGTAGTGATAAGCAATCTGACGCTATCTGGGAGGGATGCTAACGCTATCTGAAGTCGCCTGTGACACTAATACAGTTATCAGTAAAAAAAAAAGCCCCACAAAAACCTGTGCACTGTACTAATGACAGGGCAGTGGAAGGGTTAACTGGGGGGCAAACAGGGGTTTAAAATGTGCCTAACTATGTGTCTTAGGTATTAGTGTAGTGCTGGGCCAGAGGGAACGTGCCCACGGATCGGGGACATGGCGGAAGCTCGGATCACATGTATATATAGTGAAACTGCTAAAGGGTGGATTTCAACTGATTAAAAAAAAAAATTGAACCAAAATATACTGGCATGACTTTTGACCCCTACCTTGACCGTAACACTAACCCAGGCACTGACCTAGCTCAAACCTTCATCTAGTTATTTTTTTTCTTTTATTTGTAATTTTTTAAATTTATTTTACACACGTGTGTTTGTTTATATCTTCCTCTCCTGCAGGAAGAGAAAGATACAATGTATCTTTCTCTTAATTCAGAAGTGGAAATAAACATAGGGGCGGGTTCACAGTGACTGATCACTGTGATAGCCAATCAGAGGCTATCACAGTGATCAGATGACCCTAGGTCCTAGGTCCCAATCATTAGTATGAGACCTGGGTCTCAGTGAAAGCCCTGTCTCTATCCTGGGAGCGTGCTGCAGAGAAAAGTATATACAGTATGCGACCTCATGACTAAAGACCCACTTCCAAGAAGCTGTATATATGCATTGGTTGGCCAGAAGGGGTCAACGTACAGGCGATTGAGCTTTATATAGTATATGTGTGAAGAAATGTGCTTAACCCCTTGCCTACAGGGCACTTATACCCCCTTCCTGCCCAGGCCGATTTCCAGCTTTCAGCGCTGTCACATTTTTTTGAGACAGATAGAGATTTATTTTGGTGGTATTGAATCACCTATGGGATTTTTATTTTTTCTTAAACAAACCAAAAACTAAAAATTTTGAAAAAAAAACGTTTTTTTCTTAGTTTTTGTTATACAATTTTCTAAATAAGTGATTTTTCTCCTTCACTGATGTGCGCTAATGAGGCTGCAGCGATGGGCACTGATAGGCTGCACTGATGAAGAGGCACTGGTAGGTTGCACTGATGGGCATTGACATGCATCACTGATGGGTACTGAAAGGCAGCACTGATACATGACACTGATATATGGCACTGATGGGCGGCACTGACTGGCACTGATGCGCACTGATAGGCAACACTGACTGGCACTGATTGGCAGCATTGATAGGTGGCACTGACTGGCACTGATGGGTGACATTGAAAGGCAGCTCAGATGGGCACTGATATGTGGCATTGATGTGCACTGGCATGCACTGATATGTGGCACTCATGGGCACTGGCATGTGGCACTGATGGGCACTGACAGGTGGCACTTCTGGGGCCACACTGATCATCAGGGCCCTGATGAACAGTATACATATCCCCTCCACGGAAAGCCGATTACCGGCTCTCCTCTCAGCGTGACAGCTCGAGAGGAGAGAAATGCCGATAACTGGCATTTCCGTGTTTACATGTGATCAGCTGTGATTGGATACAGCTGATCACATAACCGAGCCGACATCTTCGGCTCTTTCCATGATCCGCTGTGTCCGAGGGACACAGCGCACCGGCGATCACCACGCTGCGCGGTCCCTGAGCCGCGCATGCACAGTGAGAATGGTAGGACGTCATATGATGTCCTATCAGAACGAGAGAAACACCTTGCGCCCGTCATTGTACTATAGGGCAGGCGGAAGGTGGTTAAAGCGTGAGTGTCATAGCCACTAGTTCACTAAAGTGTAAGTCTTGAATGGCACTATACTGTAAATTAAAGTAGCCCTACTTGTGGCCTCCACAGTTGCCTGAATATAATAACCCTGTCAGACAGTGACTGCATCTGATATGGGCCTAAAACACGATGGGGTTGATTTACTAAAGCTGAAGAGTGCAAAGTCAGGTTCACTTCTGCAGAGAAACCAATCATCTTCCAGGTTTTATTGGCAAAGCTTTATTGAACAAGCTGAGGTTAGAAGCGGATTGGTTTCTATGCAGAAGTGAGCCTGATTTTGCACTCGGGGGTTTATTTACTAAAGTTGGAATGTATTATAACCAATTGGTATTTTTCACCTGTTTTCATCCATTATTTCATCTCAGAGCAGCTGATCTCTCTTGTTTTTGAAAGGTGTTTATTTTTGCATGTTTCAATAAATACAGCTTGGAACAATTCTTACAACTCGCAGATTGGGAAATACAAACAAAACACACATTCAGACACAACTTGGTTGAGATAAAGAAGTCTGTCTAGAAACTGAAGAGAGTTCAGTACAAGGTCCTCAAATCTTTGTCCATTTAGCTGGGCAGGCTCTGGCTGTTCAAGGTGCTCAAATATCTGGCTTCATAGATGAGTTCGTACTTGGGAAGGGCCTCATCAACCATTTCAGAAACCTATCTAGAGTGGGGTGGCAAGATTCTATTCAAAAGAGTAGAATGGGTTTCAGTGCATAAAGCATAGCAGTGAAAACAAAGCATTACTAGCAAGCTGAATTTTAGGGACAAAGTCCAGGAGTTGGTGAATGAATACATGTATTTATGTCCTTTAGTCTTGTTTCAGGGAACAGGATCAAAAAAAGTGGAATAAATCACCCTGGCATATTTAAGTTTTTGCAGGGGTGAAATATACAGTAGACTGTAGAGAAAAGTAAACTGCATTGATTTGTCTGCAGTACTGGTAACAGTATTAAACCATGTTTGAGTTGCCTTCATCCAGCATTGGAATATGGACAATCATTTGCTTTGATGAAGCATAAATAAGGTAGGGACTTGAGGACTGCAGCAGAGCATAGATATTGGTAACTATTTTACGTTTTTGTGAGTCTCCTATAAGGGTACCTGAAGAGAACCAAGCTGTGTGCTGAAGGCATGGTAAAGCAAAAAGGTTAACAATGTGTTAGGGATCCCAATATTTCAGTTTCAGAGTCCAAAGTCAGTACTTGACTCCATACCTGGCCAAGCAGATGGTATTGGGGTTATTATAAAATTCCTTCACCTGTCGATTAAACCAGAGGGGAGCATGCAGAGGGAGGACCAAAGTAACTTTTTAGCTCTGTCAGGAATAAATGGAGGTAGTAATGGGGAAAAGCAGCTTCACATGCTGCCGGTTACATCTAAAGAGCCAGTACTAGCGGATACTGTGGCTGTTATTGCATTTTTAGCACCGGAAGTAAGCCATTCCTGGATAAAAGCCAGCTGGGAAAGGCCTCGTGAAAACTAGGCTTAAAAAATGCACTTTGCACAGTCGTGTTTTTCTCAGCCTGTAATAGAACTTCTATGTAAGCTTATGTGTCCATGCACACATAGGTGTTTACAGGCGTATTAGAAGAGGAGCGTTTTACAGGCTGAAAATAAAGCTCCCAAAGGTGCACTCAGGTGAAGAGCTGAAGAGCAGAAAAAATACAGAATGTGCCCAAATGCTAGTGTTTGAGCATAAATGCATTCCGATGGCCAGAGTAAGTTAACCACTTTATTAAATAATAAAAAAACGGACTCTTTCAACCCCTTCTTGCCCAGGCCAATGTTCAGATTTCAATACTGTCACACTTTTAATTCCAATTACTCAGGCTGGCAACACCGTACCCAAATGAAATGTGTATATTTTTTTCAGGTAGAGCATTTTTTAGGTGGTGTTTAATTAAACACCACTGTTTTCTTTTTCATTTGTTTGCTATATAAATGAAAAAATACTAAACATTTTGGAAAAAAAAATATTTTCTGTTAAACATTTTTGCAGATAATCTTTCTGCTTAAATTATAGGCCAAAATGTATTCTGCTACATTTCTTTGGTAAAAATAATCCAAATCAGTGTATAATATTTAGTCTGTAGGAAAGGTATATAACTATGGTGTGTATATATATTTTGAAAATTTATCAATCCTGATGTACTGACAGCCCATCTCATTTCTTGAGGCCCTAAAATGCTAGGACAGTACAGATACCCCCAAAATGATTATTTTTATACAGGATTTATATAGCGCCAACAGTTTGCACAGCGCTTTACAAAATGAAGGTAGACATTACAGTTACAATATAATTTGGTACAAGAGGAAACAGAGGGCCCTGCTCGTTAGAGCTTGCAATCTAGGAGGAGGGGTTGAGTGATTCAAAAGGTAATAGCTGTGGGGGATGAGCTGATGGAGGAAATAAATGGAAGGTTTACTAGGTAGAAGCAAGATAGGCTTCTTTAAAGGTGGATAGATTAGGAGACAGCCGGATAGATTGGGGTAGGGAGTTCCATAGGATGGGAGAAGCTCGGGAGAAATACTGGAGGCGAGCATGGGAGGAGCTGACACAGGAACTAGAGAGCAGAAGGTCTTGGGAGGATCGAAGAGAGTGGTTTGGTTGATATTTTGAGACCAGGTTGGTGATGTAGCTGGGGGCAGAGTTGTGGATGGCTTTGTAAGTTATTGTTAGTATTTAGAATTTTATTAGTTGGGCGACTGGAAGCCAGTGGAAGGATTGGCAGAGAGGGGTAGCAGATACTAAATGGTTGGTAAGATGGATGAGCCTGGTAGCAGTATTCATGATGGACTGGAGGTAGGATAGCCTATGTAAAGGTAAGCGAATGAGGAGGGAGTTGCAGTAGTCGAGGGTAGAGATGACCAGGGAGTGAATTAGGAGCTTTTCGGTATCATTGGTTAAAAAAGGGGCATATCCTGGAGATGTTGCAGAGGTTGAGGCAACATGATTTGGGCAGGGATTGGATGTGGACCTGAAAGGATAGTTCAGAATCCAGGGTTACCCCTAGCACCCTGGCATGCAGGGATGGGTTGATAGTGGTGCTATTGATCCTAACCGAGAAATCAGGGGAAGAGGCACGTGGGGGAGGAAATATTATGAGGTCAGTTTTGGATAGATTGAGTTTTAGGAAGTTGTGTGACATCCATTCTGATATGTCTGTTAGTAAATTGGTGATACGTGTAGAAACTGATGGGGTGAGCTGAGGAGTAGAGAGATAGATTTGTGTGTCATCAGCATAGAAATGATATTGGAGACCATGGGAAGCTATCATCTGACCCAAGAAAGAAGTGTAGATTGAGAATAGGAGAGGTCAGAACCTTGGAGGACCCCGACAGTAAGAGGAGTAGGAGAGGTGGAGGTAGAGTTGTAAGTGACACTGAGAGTGCAGTGAGATAGATAAGATTCAAACCAATGGAAAGTACAGTAACGGAGACCAAGTAAATAGAGTTTTTTGAGGAGGAGGGGGTGGTCAACTGTGTCAGAGGCAGCAGAGAGGTCCAATAGTAAAAGTACGGAATAGTGACCATTGGTTTTAGCGGTTAGTAAGTTGTTTGTGAGTTTTAGGAGAGCAGTTTCTGTGGAGTGTTGTGGGTAAAATCCAGAATGAAGGGGATCGAGAAAATTATTCTCAGTAAGGTGGCAGCTCAGTCGGTTGTAGACTAGATGTTCAAGGAGTTTGGAGGCAAAAAGGAGTAAGGAGATGGGTCTTAGGTTGCTAAGATTGGTGGGGTCCAGTGAGACCTTTTTAAGTATGGGGGTGACTAACGCAAGTTGGTGAAGATGCCAGTAGAAAGGGAGTGATTGAAGATATGAGTTAAAGAATGAAGGGTTGAGCCAGAGGGTGACTGTAGTATTTGCAAGGGAACAGGGTCCGGGGGGCAGGTGGTTAGATGGGTTTTAGAAAAATGTTTACAAACCTCCTCTATAGTAGCTGGGTTAAACCAGGGAAATATAGATTGTGCAGGTGTAGGGTGAGGGAGATATCTGTACAGTGAAGATCTTCTCACAAATTGTATCAATCTTATTTTTGAAGTGATTAGCGATCTCCTGTGCAGTGAGTGAGTTAATGGGTGGGGGTAAAGAAGGACAAAGTAGAGATTTAAAGGTAGAAAAGAGTTGACGGGGATTGCATGAGAGGTTATTAATGAGAGTGATAAAATAGGGCTGTTTGGCAGTGTGGAGACAAGAATTGTATTTTTGAATGGCATATTTATATTGGTCGAAGTCTTGCTGGGTCTTAGTCTTACGCCATAAATGCTCCAGAGCACGGCTACGTTTTTTAAATCATCTGGTATTGTCTGTTTGCCAGGGCTGTAGTGGTCGGGACCTAATTCTGTGTGTAGTGAGGGGGGCCAATGTGTCCAGGGTGGATGACAGTGAACTATTGTAGACCAGGTTGGGGCAGGACAGGGTTGAGATTTTGTCATAGAGACAATCTGTTGCTGAAAAAAGAAGAGAAGGGTTAAGATAAGGAAGGTTTCTACGGGTAACTGGTAGTTGGAAGACAAGGAGAGAGTGAAGCTAATAAGGGAGTAATCAGAGAGAGAGCGAGGAAGAGGAAAGATGGTGAGGTTGCAAGGAGTGCATAGGTAGGAGAATACAAGGTCGAGGCAGTTACCATTGGAGTGAGTAGAAGCCCGCGTCCATTCTTTTAGGTCAAAGGAAGTGGTTAGGCTCAGAAGTTTAAAGTTAGCAGGAGTGTTAAGATTAACAGGGTTGAAGTCACCAAGAATGATAGTGGGAATTTCAGAAGAGAGAAAGTAAGGCAGCAAGGCAGAGAAGGCATCAAGGAAGCTTGATACCGGTCCAGGAG